GGAGGAAGCGGAGATGAGAGATTCTGAGCAATCGATGACCCAGCCAGCTGAAGAGGAGAGCAGGAAACACAGCAGAGTGGAGACGTACTGTTGAAGCCGTATGTTTCACTCAAAACCTAATGGATTGATAATAATAATAATATAATTATATTGAATTATCTGCTACAGTTATGAGTGATAATTAATCTATTGCCAAAAATGCTTTACTCTGTCATTATCTATATATTAACAGATGTATGAGACACTCATATGATACACTTTGGAATTGTTTTGATAAGCATATGATCACGGCGAAACAAAAAAACACACACAGAGGCACGTAATTGAGATCTTTTTCAATGAATTATTATAGTTCTATTCGACAATTATTATTATTATTACTAGTGTCATATGTTTTGGCTAAATTCATTTGCTAGTGTTATTGCCAACTTTGATGATAGAGTTATGTTGTGTATATGTAAATATGTATATTATTTGAAGAAATTAAAGTGTTATAACTAGAGAGACAAAGAAATACATTATTTTCGGGGAGGCTGGGGGAGGTGAAACAACGTCAATTTGGCACCATACAAGTATGCAGAGTGAAATATATAAGACAGAAATTATATATACAGATATATAGATTATCATCACTACAGAGTGTACTATGTCTAGGTATTTGTAAGGTCTGATTGTCATGGGTTTTATAGTTTTGCTTACATTAACTTATCAAATAAACCAACCATCTATTTGTAGGGTTCCATTATGGATAAAATTTATTTTTGATAAAGTCGCACAGTGTGGTATACAGTAATATTTACTGATTACCACGTTTTGAGTACAGTTTATTGCTCATAATCATATCAAGGCATTCAGAAAACTTTCCAACTTTCAAGTATTGGTTTCGTAGGGATTTAGTTTGATTTGATAGATAGCCATTGGAAATTCACCAGGGAGTAGTTGACAGCCAGCTGTTTCGTCCTAGTTTAGGACTCTTCAGTACTACGCACCCACCGGGATTCAAACCCGGGACCTTTTGGTTACAAGGCGAGCTCGTGGACCATTGAGTCACTGGGACCCGATACAATGTTCTGTGAATTCTAACTTCTGCCAATTCACAATTTAGTGTGACCATTTCGTAATATCTTCTGCGATGAGTTGCTGCCTCATCTTTAACCAGAAGGCCCCGGGTTCGAATCCCGGTGGTTGCATACTGATGAAGAGTCTCAAACTAGGACGAAACAGCTGTTAATTACTCCCAGGTTTTCCAGTAATTCTCTAACTGATTTCAGATCATGGTGAAATCCTCCATCCAATCAAACTTTCCAGCTTTCACTATTTCTCATCTTTTGATTTGCTTGGTGGTAATAGTTTTCATATTTCTGAAATGAGCGAGTGTTTGGTGTAGATTCTGTGAACAAAGATTCAGTAATCAACCCCTCTCTCCACTTACCTTTATTACTCTGTAGAATTTGTACTCTGTCCCATCTTATTGTTTTGTTGTGTGTCAATGTATGCAGTGCGATTACTGAGTTCTTTTCTAAATTACTTGTCATCGCGGAGTCAATCATTCTAACCTTAGCTAAATTCTTATGTTACGATGATCTCACTACTCCTGATCTACTGGTTTGACCTATGTAGTTGACCTAACTCCAAATGGGTCTAAATGGGTCAACTTACAGTGTCCTTTAACCTACAAAGCTTGTCGTACCTGAATGAGTTTGTAGGTTAAAATACCACCCTAATTCCTGTTTTATTGAGAATCCTATGTAGAGCCTCAGATGTCCCCTCTTTTTATGGTAGAACTGTAGATGACTTGTATGCTTTCTTATTTATGTTACCATTATTAGTTTCACCATTATTTTTCTTCTGCGTTTAACAGTTTTTGATCTTTCGAATGAATTTTTATGGGATAGCTATTTAACCTGGCATGTTCAATAAATTATTCTCGAAGCTTAGTCATCAGTAAATATTACTGTATAACACTGTGAGTCTTTATCAATATAAATTTTATCCACAATGGAATTACACTCTACCACAGTGCACAATTTCTATTCTTATATCTCTTTGTGGAGTTGATAATTGCGTAAGACTTTGAAGGACATCAGTAATCAAAGTAACTCTCACTGAAGCCACGTTTTATATTGTTTCATAATTATTCCTTTTGGTTCCAAGTGGACAATAGGTCTTCGAAAGCACATATACACTTCATCTTGTACTCAGTGGTCCTCTTCAGCTGGTTACACGATTGTCCACTGACTATTATCTCCTTCTCCTCGTCACCGTTTCCCATTCGGATGGCCAACTTGGAACTTGGTATCACTCAATGGGTGTTCTCAGAGTGTAACCTATCAATCTCAGTTTTCCTAAGCGTATTTATTGTGTAGTGGTTTCTTCATTGGTTCGTTGTCAGAGTTCATTGTTGCTAATCCTTTCTGGCTGGCCATCTGATCTTTGATATTGACAGAAGGTATCTGTTGATAAAATTCTCAAGCCTGTTGGAAATACCTCTGACGTTGTGTGGGCCAAGTCTTCCACCATATAGAAACAGTGACTGACTGGACAACACTGTTTAAATCTGAGTATTGTTTCTTATATATGCGTCAGTGGCACAGCAGTAGAATGTTCGTCAACCACGCAGGTGATCAAGGGTTCGATATCCGCCCACAGACTCTCTCCTTTACCTCGCTATGCCAGTAATAAGACTGGTAAATAGGGGAGGCTGGGCATGAGGCCAGCAACACCATCTCGAAAAATTAAATACCACTGCTAGTGAAGATCAAGTCTCTAGTTTGAAGCCTTATATTCCACTGGGAACGTAAAGGAATAATAATAAGGGTTTCTAATGGTGAGCGTACCAGGGTTCCACATCAATTTTAGATCAAGTGGCTTGCTAAAATCACTGGGCCACCTAAGATTTCATCCTGTATAATACATAGACTCCTTAGCATTTCTTATGATTTTAATCAACTAACTGTGTTTTCGGACGGCTATACGAACTCGCACACAGTTTTAGTTTGATGTAATGTAGATAACTGGTTGACAGAAACGGAGAAAAGATATTGTCGAGTTCTGGATATTGTCTCAGATGGAAAAATAGGATCACACGATGTACTGCTTAAAACTATTTTACATGAAGCTCCTGTACGAAGAGTGGATATTTTCAAATTTAAATACGTTGGAAGTTCTTCTACTATGTGTTAACATGTTGTCTAAAATGAAGTTATTATTATTACTGCTGAAGAGTCCTAAATTATGACGAAACAGCTGTCTAGTAATCTCAATTGGTTTTCCCATGGTTTCCTAACCGATGTCAGCTTATGATGAAGTCCTGTAACCAATCAATCAGATCCCTACAAACGAATACTTGAATTTATTATTATTATTATTATCAGGTGAATGTCCGTCTTGCTTTCTGGCTCCTGACTGGCTTTGACATCCTCACCCGTGCTGCCCATAGTTAAAACGATGCTACCCATATAAATGAAAGAGATAACCTGCTTCAAATTGCTCCCGTTGATGTCGATTGTTGCTTGTTGTTGTTGTGGAATGGGTGTCTTCAAGATTTTCATCTTCGAACATTTTGCAGTTATTCCATGTCCCTACAATCAATTTTGCTTCCAACGGAGGCTTAAGTCGATCCGCATCTTCTCCCTCCTCCGATTCCAGAGTGGAATCATTTTGCTTTTTATGTTTTTTACTGTGATTTGAAGTTTCTGCAGTGATTGAGTTGATTTTTTGCGCTCAATCTTAGGTCTTTTCTCTAGCTTGGGACTGGTTAGTAAACCATCTAAGTGCTAAACTAGGTGAGGTTGAAGCCTAGTTATACGAACAACTTAATAAAAAGCCTTAAACGAACGTAACCACTTCAGGTTTAATCAAACTGAGTAAGGAAATGCATCATGAATAAAGACCATAACTAATAATGCTGAGTGTTACGCGTTCAAATCTTCATGTGGCCACCAGTTCCTCACAAAACTGCCGATTCACCTAACAGAGAAGGATTTCCTACGAACTAGTAGACCAAGCAAGGTTTGAGAGAGCGTAAGGTGGAAATGGAATCTAGACATCCGGCATGTCTTCTGAGTATCCTAACATTCAACCACTGAGTGGGTATTGTATGTTAACAATAATAGACTTATATAAGTGCACAACCATCCTCCAGAGAACCACCAAAAGCCAAATGTTATCGAATAGCCATATCATAACAGTTCGAGACTCTTAAATGATGTGAACGATAACCCCTAAAGCTGGAAAAGTTTTTAAGCATTTTGGTTGAATTTAGAGAGCGTCACCGTGAACTATTCGAGTCAGAATTCACCGCCTCATGATTTTTTATATTTGTATGTTTGTGATAGAGGGCTGCAATGATTCACTGATACTGATAACTGTTTGTTCGTACATTCTACTTGGTGGACATGATTGGTCCTCGGCTTGTAATGATTATTGGAAATAATGTAACTTGGTGAAGAAACATTACCGGTGGGAATTTTGGTGGAAGTATAATTGTATAACAGCCTGTTTATTGAGTCAGATTTCCTCTGCCATCATTTTCTTCACCACATACTTAAATACTTATAGACTATGTGACGTATACAGGAGAGATAAGACACCGAGCCTTCAGCTCACTTGACCAGCCCGTTGACAATTCATCCTCTGGACTGGAATTCAGCTGTTCATGAGTTCTAACTTAAAACCACTTATGACACAGTAGTGCGGCAACTGATCCCATTGATGAGAACCGATCTAACATTGTCATGGTGGACCTGGCCATGAGCAGCGATTCTTCATTAGATCTCTTGAATATCCACTCAACAGCCGCTAAGAGACTAGAGGATTATAATAATATTTAAGGTTTTGTAAGGATTCTGATAAGATATCCAACTAACTGCAACTACAACAGCAACCAGAACCAATCGCCATCAAAGGGAGAGATTTAAAAGAGGTAACCTTCTTCACTTATCCAACTAGGAAGCATTGTTTTAACTACAGGCAGAATGGATGTAGATGTCAAAGTCAGATTCAAAAAGGCAAGATACATCTACATCAACCTGAAATCAAATTGGAAATCTTCTACACTCAGCATATGGAACAATATTCAGATCCTGTTCAACACAAATGTCAAGTAGGTCCTACTATATGGGTAAGAAACATGACCAGTGCATCACAAGAAACATTTCCAACGGCCTACTGCAGATTTTCACCAACAGCTGCCTTCGCTGCATACTGAAGATTGAATGGCCAGCTTACCAGAAACAATTAGCAACAAGAAACTCTGGCTGGCGACAAACCAAAAAAGAGCCGACTGCTCAACAAATATGTTGGAGACAATGAAGATAGATCGGGCATACATTAAGGAAACCATCGAATGAGATTACGCTCCAGGCCGTCGAGTGTAATCACAATGGGAAGCGACGAGTGGGTCTTCGTGGGGGGTGGTCGTTTGTGAAAGAGATGAGAGAGTGAGGGCAACCGTAGATCCAACTGAAGAGTATGGCAGAAAATAGAACAAAGTATAGATGTGTTGTAGAACCCCTTACGTTCCTCTCGGAACCAAAGAGAACAATAATCAAAAGGGATTCTGATAGATTTTAATGCAGCTTTTCCCACGAAATGATGTTATTTAAGTTCTGAAAACGTGTTCAGAGAACAACAAACTTAGATATAGGGTGGTGAAGAATGAATGTGCTGCTTTTCGTGTGATTCTAAAACTGCTCAGTACAAGAAGTGACTAGGTGGTAGCTGCCAGTTATTAATGTACGAATTCGTCTTGCTCCTGGTGTGTTATACCCTCTCCGTTTTGTCTAATGAAATATAACCATATTTTGCAGGCTAAAAGTGGCTAAAATCGGTTTAAACCATGGGTTACTGAGACAGAAAATTTCAACATTAGTTAGTCACAAAATCTTTGATACCAAGTCTTAGTATTAGTTATTGCCAGTGTCTTTTGATTTTCTTGTATGCCGAGTGTATCAGACTACATCTGAAGTAGGACAGTTATATTTCGTTCTTAGTCAAGTCGCCTACTTATTCCTGTATTATAACTAATTTAACGACGCATTATGCATCATACGAACACTTCGAATATTGTAAATCATAACTGTAGGTGTAATATGAAGAAGTTCATCGATTGATACGCTATAAGTCCAATTCCTTAAACCTCGCTGAACGAATGCTTGTCTCGGCTAAGAGGGAACATTAATCATGAGGTAAGCCACCCCACCGCAGAAAACAGTACCAAAGCTACTGAAACTTGTGAGCTCAAGCTTGAAGCGATATGTCTCACCAGACACGCAAGTGAATGAAAAATAGCAATAATAATATCAGAATGTCCTTATCCAATGCATAAATGCTTACCTCACTTCGAAGACATACAATTCGAATGACTGTATCCTCGTTCATTCCTATGCCTTCCATACTACAGTAAAGTTGACAGATGAGTAGTAAACGCAGATCAATCAGCGCCATAACTTTATGTAATGAAAGAAAACATAAGAGTAATTAAATCGTCACTAATTATTATTATTACATAATTGAAAATACCTCGCCTAATTAACTAGCTTGCTAGTTTTCTAGCCGCTCCCAACCCTGGGTAAAGGGGAGAGGTTTGGGCACAGGTCTAGCAACCCGAAACCACTAAACCTATGAAACCGTTAGAGGAACTTAAACACACAAAAATTACATTAAAAATCCAAAAAATTGAAATAACAACAATCTTTTTCTTCGCTCGAGTCGGGGAAGCGAAATGAAACAGCGGGCTGATGAAACTCCGCCCTCGGGAAGCCAGTCAACCAGCCAGCCAATGTGTCTTATCTCGACGAAAGCAAGAATAAGAATTAGGGCGTGGAATGCCCGTACAATGAAAGAGGCTGAGAAGGCTGACCAGATAGCCAAAGAAATGCGGAGATATGGCCTAGAAGTGATAGGATCCTGCGAGAGCAGATGTAATGGGTGTGGATTATCCAAATTGTCAGCTGGATAGTCAGTAATGTACTCCGATCACCCAGATGACCAGCACGAGCAAACTGAGGCAGCGAGTGGTCATCATGATGTCACCAGTGGCGGCCAGAGCTCAAATGTAGTAGGAAACAATTTTATTCCGTAGGGTCATGACAGCAAGATTCAACTCCAAATGAGGGAAGGAAGGTCACCGATATCAAATGCTAGGCACAGTGCTATAAAAAGCGCGGAACAAGAGAAGAAGGAAGAGTTTTACAGACAACTACAAACACCAATGGACAACATTCCAAACAGTGACATTAAAATACTCATGGGTGATATGAATGCCGAACTGGGAACACAATATGGGTCAAGAGGCTGTCGGAGAAATGAATGAGAACGGAGAATTATTTGCAGACTTCCGGGCTTTCAATGATTTTATGATTGAAGGCAGAGTGTACAAGCACGCAGATATACACAAAAAGGCATGGGTTTGGCCTGACGTCATCTCATTGCAGTTGTTCAAGGAAGTGGAGACACAGATGGCCTTCTGGACACAAAGTCGAGAAGGGGAGCAGATTTTGTGGTCTCACACCATCACCTAGTGCAAGGAACCTTCAAGATGAAGCTAAATCCCTAAAAATAGCTGGATACAGGCCACAGTTTAAGTTCAACATTTAGAAACTGAAGGACGAAACTACAAATGATGCCTTCATTGCTTGGATCAGCGGGGAAACCAGCGTTGTATAAAATGGGAACTAGCTCTTTTAAGGTGGTGTTCAAGGAAACGTGTACAACCGTTTTAGCAAGAAGGAAGAGGCCAGACAGGGAATGGCTCCCAATGAATACCTGGAAGCTGATGCATATATATAAATATATAACGGAAGGTCTTATTTAGATATCTAGAGGAGAGTAAGATTCATGAAGGCAAAGTACAAATGATTATCCAGTTAAATGCGTAGAAGAAAATATTAATTTACACTAACAAAATAAGTCAATATGGCGACAGATCCAAAGAAACCCTTCGTCTATAAACTGCAATTTCTTTTCGACAGAATGAGTGAAATAATAATAACAATGAAAAGAGAGTTTAGTATAGAAGATGAACATAGCCTCTTCATGATCATTCCAGTTTTAGGTTAGAAAAATATGAATAAACTGCTTGATTAATATCGCCTCTTCCTCTATTTGTACGTAAGTATGTGCCAGTTTTACTACTCGTGTGGAGCTAGTTACATTTGGCATACAATTAACAAGTTCATCATGGAATCCTCCAACATCATCCTGTATAATTAACAATGGACAAAAAAGGTCTTTTAGTACCTGTGTCTCATCATCATTGTGTTTCATAAAATGTCGATGAATACAGGTTTTGAGTTTATTCATGTACGTCAGCTGTTTCAGTTATACACGTAAAAGTAATGGAAATATGGGCTTATGAATTGATTGAATTTAGCCTTCTAGAATTCTTTGAAATCCTAACTTCAAGGGGTTAAATGATCTGGATCCAATAGGCCCAGGTGAAAAGTAAGACACTGGCGATCTATTTCCATCTTTCTCAGAAATAGCTGGATAGTTTCTGCCATACTCTTTGCATTCACAATTACAAAATCATAACAAATAACCCTCATTTGTCAGTGATGTGAATCTTCAACCTTGACAGAAATGTCATTACTTCACGACACCAATCAAAATCAAAAGCGTAGGTCATCAGGTGCTGTAGAGGAAGTTTCACCACATGTTGCTGTATATATATATCCCGATGCAGTCTACCACAACCTGGAAGGTTTTCGGTGATAGTAGAGGGCTTAGTTTAACTCCCGTCTTAACTTCAGACGCTTTATTAAGCTACTTCGTTAGTGGCATTATTATGTAGTTGCTGAATTAGGTTGATAAAAGTTTTAAGCACTGTGTAGTGGTGGCAGAGTTTCCAAAATAACTTCTCAGTCGAAACGCTGTTGAAGGCCTATTCAAAATAGATGAAACTTAAGCCACAAGCGTTAGACACCATTTTCCTTAAATTCAGCTTGTTCCGGGAAGAGTTCTGTATGCAAAGCATCTTTAAGTTTCCAAAGAATGATGCAATTTACTATTTTGCTTGGAGTGGACCGGAGCATAATTCCATGCAGGTTCTTACCAATGCTCAAGCTATCTTTCTGTGGTTTAGTTTGATAAGGCAGTTTTTCTCCCAGTCAATAGGTAGTGGCGTGAGGTTATCTGTCAGGACCTTAGGATCCGTTTTCAGCGCTTCTAGTCGAATTGTGTATGGTTCTGTTTCCTCCCAAGCCAGCCTTTATTAATTTTATAATATTTAAGGCTTCTGTTTTTTCTGGGGGGGGGGATTGGTGTTCACTGGTGATCATGCAGCCAGCTTAAAATAACAGTGGAAAACATGGTTAATTAAAGATGTCTGGCTAACGCCTCGTCTACCACTTGGAATCGAGGGATGAATAATATACATGACTAATAAATATTGCTACTTAATCTGCAGTTATTAATTTCTTATACGTTTTGAGCAAACCATCCAAAAATACATGCATATATATATGAACATCTGCAATTTTCTTCACTTACTGACAGTATTCATTGCCGTACGAAGAGGATTTGAAAATTTCCGTGATATAGCATCCACAAGAAGGTGGCCGTATTTCTACAAAAATTTAGAAGAAATCAAACAATTATAATATTTTTAAGCATTGGTTTTGTGTGGATTATTGTTTGATTAATTAGAGGATTTCATCATGGGCTGATACCAGTTAGATAACCATTGAAAATCCTGCAGGGAGTACTGGGTAGCTGTTAACTGCGCCCTAGTTTGGGACTCTTCAGTGGTAAGCACCCACCATCAAGTTTCTAATCCAGGACCTTCTCGTTACAAGGCGGGCTAGCCCGTTGACCATTTAGCCACTGGGACCCAATCCAATGGCCAACCCGTGAATTCATGACATATCACGACGACTCCACAATATCTTCTTCAATGAGTACCAGTCCTCACCTTCAACCTGCTGCACCCTAATGGTCCTGACTCTCCATTAGAACTGATGAAGAGTCACAAACAAGGCGGATGAATCAGCTGTCCAGTATTTCCAGGTTTTCCAGTGGTTCTCTTACTGATGTCAGTTCATAATGAAATCCTCCAACCAATTGTGGTTTTGACTAGTCAGCATTATTGAATACTAATATTTTTTGTATACTGAAGACTGTCATAAATTACTGTTATCATGGATCGATAATTCTACAGAGATTGATAATTTGAAATTTCTGGTATTGTAAGACGTCATCGGTGCTAAATTACTACTAGTCTGCGTGAGATTTTGTTTTATTTTGAAGTAATCTTTGTTGAATATTGAAACTCAGAAGCACTCAGCAAACATTTAAGCCCTACTTATATATGGTTAAAGTAGTTGGGGCATCATTGAAAGCATTTTCAGCGGGTGGATTCAAGCTCTCATGAACATTTATTTGTCTTTGTTTGGTTGTGAAATAAGACAGGCAGCCAGCCAGGAAAGACAGACAGCAAACAACTCTGGCAGGCAGACAGACAGGCAGTGAAGAAAGCATCCACTAACCTTTCAATCGGTACGCAGAAAGAAATACAGATGGATTGAAGACCTTCAAGTAAGACCACACACCTTGCCCTCAAGTGCAGTCTCAATAGGAAAGGAAAAGTTTTAACATCTAGTGATGAGGCAGAGAAATTCTTGAGAAGGGGGAATGAACGCTTGTCACATCCCACTGTGCTTATCAATTTACATGTATGTGTAGATATGCGTACACAGGGAACACCCATCGGTGTCTGCAGGTTAGGGCTACAGAACACAATTCAAAGTGGCTGCAAAAACAAATAAAATAGCCAGACACAAGTGACCCCGGAAAAAGATGTCCAACATCGTCTGTAACGAAGCACATTATAGAGAAGGGTCATGAGGTTGGTTGCAACAATGCCTTTAAGCCCATATACAAAACAAGGTTGGATCACATACTTAAATTCGCTGAAGCCTTTGCCATAAAAAGACTTAAACTTGTCTTATGTGTACAAACGTTTTTGTTATTACTTTAAACCTGCCTTGGTAATCCAACTGAAAACCAAGGGCCAATTTACTTAATAATATTTTCAACTCCTTCTTTGCTTTATTTTTTCTCTTTTTATCTTTCTTACCAGCAACTTTGCGTCCCCTACCCATTATTTGTGACCTTGACCTGTACACAATCTGACCTGTATTGTAATCATTCATGGTTTCTTTCTTTCTATAAAAAACTGTGTATGATAAGCACACGTGTGATCAGACTGACCGAAGTGTGTTGCGCAAATACATTACAAGTTTCAGATAAATTACGTATTCTTGTTGTGTTGCTGAAGGCTTGTAGGCAGTCATGTGGTCGGTTGAAAGTGATATCAGAAAATAAAATTCAATGGAGACTGTCCATGTCAACACTTATCTAGAAGAGATAGTCATCAGTGGTATACAATGAGGAATAAAGATAGCACTAAGACCTCGAAACTCACTCAGGAACAGACCGTTTGAGCAATAGGATGTGCTTGAGATGTCAACGTTAAAGAATACTCTTTGACTTTATAGCTTAATTCGAAAAAATTATTCTATTATGAAAAATTAGTAAAGCCTATTTTTTAACTATTTGTAAACTGTTAACTGCAGATAACATTGATGGCACAGCGGTAGAATACTGGTCAATCAAGCAAGTTGTTCTGGGTTCGATCCCCGATCACAGACACACTCCTTTACCTCACTTATCCAGTAATAACACTGGTAAAGAGGGAAGGTTGAGCATAAGGCTAGCAACCCCAGCCTGTAAAAGTAAACACCAAGGCTACCGAAACTTCAAGCTTCTAGCTTGAAGCTCCATGTTTCACTGGTAGCGTGAAGGAGTAAAAAAAGAAACTAACTGCAGGTATCATCTGTGACATTTAATACGCACACTTACCTTATAGTATGCATTGTATATCGCTTGTATATGATATTTACTGCGTTTGGATAAGATTGATATAAAGACGGAAGGATCACCTTTGCCTACTTGTCTGTAGAAAGTAAAACGAAATAATTGGTGAATTCTGTCTCATCTTTAATGATTTATTGAAGTGTATCTAAGAATAAATGTTGCGTGTGTATTACCTGGAACCGATATTTTTAAAAATGGTCAATTTCAAGTTATCTCCAGAAATGACATCATTTTGAGGGGGGCTGAACACCGAGAGTACTTACTTAGCCAACGTTTTGTCCTTATTCATGATTCGTCATCAGTACACACCCATGAAACGTTTCAGGGGTCTAACTCATGGCCTATAGGTTATTAGGCCAACAAACTGACGATTCATAAAGTGTGATGAGATCAGAAGGTTCAAAAATTTTATATTCCGTCAATCCATGATGCATTGAGCTTGCAATAGCTAACGTCTTAAGCAGGTATCTGTTCTGCAAACTGCTTGTTTTTGGCGAATTCATTTGTTTTAGCTGTACAGTTCCATTCATATACACTATTTCTAATTGAAGCGGGAAGTAACAAAGATGATGGGTTGTCACAGTCATAATTATTAATATTTGTCAAAGTATCTGAAGAGTTGAATATGTTTATTAGGGATATGTGATATGTGAGAAATTGACTTGCGATTTTCAGCTTACAAACTTCACGGGAATATTTCATCACAAATTAAACAGAATGGTCATCTGGCTTTTAGAACACTTTGATTCAACAAGCAAGAGGTACTGGTTGATGTGAATAGTATCTAACTACCCATTTCAGTTGTTCAGTGGCAGATAATATTATACATTTATGTTCGTTCTCTTTATCATTATTATTGTTCCATTGAATTCCAAATGGAAAATAAGGCTTCAACAGCACATTCCACTTTGTTCTATTATCTGCTATCCTTTACAGCTAGGTTAACGATAGCCCATGATCTCTCATTTCCTCGATATCCCAATCGCGTTGACAGGAACCTCATCACTTCCTATTAGGATTCCAATCGAGCAATGAACTGTACTGAACGCGATATCATTTGACGTCCTCCTCAACAAGTGTCCAATCCCTCTCCATTTTTTCCCACAGATTTTTTGAACAATCACCTATCGGTTACAGGATTTCATCATGAGCTGACATCGGTTAGAGAACCATAGGAAAACCTGAGAGTAATGGAAAGCTGTTTCGTCCTAGATTGAGACTCTTCATCAGTACCAAACCACCGGGGTTAGCACCCAGGACCTTGTGGTTACAAGGCGAGTTAGCGCGTATATCACTAAGCCACTGAGACCTGAAGTTAGAATTCATGGGCCATTGGATCAGGTCCCAGTGGCTTAGTGGTATACGAGCTCGCCCTGTAACCAGAAGCTCCTGGGTTCTAACCTCGGTGGTTTGATACTGTGAAGAGTCCCAAACTAGGACGAAACAGCTTTCCAGTACTCCCAGGTTTTCCAGTTGTTCTCTAGCTGATGTTAGCTGATGATGAAACCCTGTAACAAATCAACCAAATCGCTACAAACCAATACTTGAAAATCGCCTTTCGGTTGGTTTTTCGCTTGCCAGAGTTTCTTGTTGCTAATTGATTCTGGCCATTTTGGCCATTTGGTGTTCCGTATGGAGCCAGTGAACGGGGCAGCCGTTGATACAAGTCTTAAGTAGCCTGTTGGAATTGATTTTCGTGACACGCAGTGAAACTTCCTGGCCTGTCAAGAACTGACTGACTGAATTTACATATACGTTAGAAATCCGTATCTTGTTCTTTGTTCTGAGGCGACGAGCAGAAGATTCCCAAACTAGTTTCAAGTTGATCAAGGCATATCTCACCTTTTCGATTCTGGTTGGCTTTACCATCTTCATCTGTTCCGACTGACTGTGGTTGAAACGATGCTTCCTGGTCAGCTAAGTGAAGGAAGTAACCTCTGTGAAATCTCTCTTTTATTGGTTTGTGTTGGTAGTTGTTGTCACGGTTCATTGTTTATCCTCATCACCTCAGTCTTCCCCATGTTCTCTTGCAGCCCTGTCTTTGCTGCCAGTCTCTTCTGCCGGCCAGTTTGTTGGATTTTGCCTGGGAGTCTTCCAGTTTGTGTGACAGTAGGCATATTTACCCAGTCCATAACACTTAATAATATCATTGGTGATAAAAGGCAGCCTTGTATCACTCTTGTGTTCACTACAAATGGATCACTGAGTTCCCCGTTGTGCATCACCTGACTCGCGGCATTGTCATATAGCCAGCTGCTGAATGGGCCTGATAAGGATTTCGGCAATGCACACCGTTGTAATGAAGCAGTTTCCAAATTACTTCTCAGTCTACGCTGTCTGTCAAAAGACTATTCGAAGTCTATGAAGATGCTGAGGTAGACGTCTGACTGTTATTCTATGCTTCGTTCGATGACCATGCGCAGAGTTTCGACTTGATCACCACATGATTTGCCTTTCCTGAATCCAGTTGGTTCCGGGTGGAGTACTGTATCCGCTGCATATTTTATACTCTCCAGCATGATGCGAATTAGTATTTTACTTGACGTAGACAAGAGCATTATTCCACACCAGCTCTTGCAGAGGGAGGCCTAAGTCTCTTTTCTTAGGAAGCTTGAGAAGATAGCCTATCTTCCATTTGGTAGACATCCTTGCCTCCCTCCCCCAAATTTTTTATAATAATGGGGTCACCAAATCCGTCACAGTCTCTGGGTGCTTTATCAGTGCTTCGGGTGAAATTCCGTCTTACCTTGTTCGTTCCCAAGACTGTTGCTTGTAGAATCAAGGAGATCCACATATTTTCATCAGAATAATTTATCTTGTGAATTTTAACCCTCATATTCATTTATCATACAAATGCTGAATAATGACGACAGACGGTTGTCACGAATTCGCCTATATCTGCATTTATCTGATAATATCTATTCCTTACCATGGGTCACTTTAGTCCTTAAATCTATCAAGCTGCAGGATCTGGAGTGCATAACTCATCAATCAAGAAAATTTACAAGCTATTTTTCATTTTTGCTTCACTCCTTGCGTTCTACTTTGGACATAAAAGCTTCAAGCTTTCAGAATTTAGCAATAGTGTTGTTGGTTGATAGCCCCATACTCACACTTTGCTCAATACTTGACTTACCCATAGTTGTTAAATGTGGAAGGTTTGTGAATGCCTCATCGCAGAATCAAACCTCAACCTCTCAAAAGTGGTTGATTATCATTCCATCATTGAATCGCTGACTGACTAAGGCCAAGTTAAACTTTAACCACCACTAACTATCAATCAGCAAACGACCTCGAATGGTCTAATAAGATTCATGCACGTGATTTCAGGGTTGTATAGCGCTTGATTCGTTTCAAATGCGTGTTTTTATGAATTTACGCTTGCAGTTCGAGGAGGATAATGTTTTGCAGTATGGCCTCGATTTGGGATTGCTTAGGAATGGGAGGATTTGTTCATGTGGTGGTGTGATGAGTTTAAAAAGCTTTAGCTGGTCGATTGATGGATATGTCCATCGTTGTGCAATTTGTTTGAGACGAGTTAGTATTCGAGAAGTTAAGCTGATAATTTTAATATTTCGCAGGAACATTTTTGCTAGGTCACATCTCTCTCGAACCCAGATTTTGTATATTTGTAACTACCGGGTTTTAAAACAACCTGTGAGAGGCCCAGCTGCTGAAACTAAAAATAGTTTTGTGTCAACAGTTCAGTGGAACCAGCCTTCAGAGACATCGCATCATGGAAAATGGAGAAAATTACTTATGTGTTAGGCGGAGAAGGCATTGTCGTGCACGTGGATGAAACTGTGTTACTGAAGACAAAATACAACCGTGTTCGTGAGTGAGCCAACAATCTTTGGGTAATTGGTTTATCTGACACCTCCCTACGGAAAGGGTTCGTGGAGAGAATAGCAAATAGAAAGTCAACTACTTTAATGACTATTATTACTAGACTTGTGAAACAAGGATCAATCGTTCATACTGGTGAATGGAAAGGTTTTAATCGTTGTCATCTCTTGGATATATTCATCACAGTGTGAACCATTCCAGTGATTTCGTGGAATCCACTACGAGGACACACAAATTCTATAGAAAGATTTTGGGGGAGATTGGAAAATAGGATTAGGGCTATAAATGGATCTCAGAAGGATCTCATTTATAGTCATTTGGATGAATCTACGCACAGAATGTGGTGTGACTTTTCTAGTGACAGTCATATGCTAAACTGGAAGATGTTTCTATCATATGTCAGACAAAGATACCCTATGTAACAGTTTTATGCAGTTTTCATGCTTTTTTTTACCATAAATATACGTTTCCCTTTATCGAAAATCCCTCTTTCATGTGATTGGTACGTTAAATATCAGTCTCTGATTGGTAGTTAGTGGTGCTTAAAATTAAACTTTACCCTGACTAATAAACATTATAACATGATTAAATAGGTTTATGATTTTTTATTTTAATACACGCATTACACTTACCCTTCACTTGCTTCGTATAATTCATTCACGTCATCTGCAACTAATTGTTGATTGACACCGTGTAAAGCTTCTTCAGTTGCATTTTCGGTCGGAATAACCTGAATTTTACTGTCTTCACAACGTTCCCCTTTTAACAATTGTTGCATAAATAATTTGTAAGCGCCTTTCGATTCGCTCATAACATCAGTTTCTAATGAACGTTGACGACAACCTAAAATTTAAGTGATAATATTGATATTAGAGAAGGTTTTATCCCTACTGCTGCACAATAAAACTAAAGGTAAACTGAGCACTTTGAGTGTTTTAAGCTTTATTCGCAGTATATAATGAAGTGTTCATAGGATAAAAAAGTAAGGGGAGTATATTAGTCTAAAAGGTTCAGGAAAACTATCCCGCTTGGCTACGGAAAGATAGCAGTGACTCCTTGGGGAGTAGAACAATCTGACACCCTTTCAACATTAGGTGCTTCATCTCAAGAAATTCCTCCTCTAAGGCCATCCACGAGGTGCAGGGTGATCAATAAAAGAAAACACTCTTTCTCCTCCTTTATTAATATTATTATTGTATCCTTTATTCCTGGAGGAATAAAGGGATTCAGCCGCACGTGTCCATTGCTTTCGGTTCTCTGCCAACGTTTTCAACTGGCTGCGTGTCTAGCACATGCCTTCGTCCCGTCTTCATATAACCTTCTTCAAGTCACCCTCGCACTGACGACCGATTAACTCGCCGCTATCCATTCGGGTTCCAGTCGAGAGATGACCTGACGTGTGATGTCATTTGATGGTGGCTTGCTTTTTCAGAGTATGGTCGATACACCTCCGGTTTGTAAGCTCCCAGAGATCCCAGTTGCCGGCCATCTGATCATGAGTTGTGTAGACTAAAGACAGCTGTTGATGAGGGTCGTTTGAAGTGGCCTTAGTGACGCGTCAATCCTCTCATCCGTATACTAAGTGGGACTGACTTCACATTTAAGTTGAGTGCTATTGATCTCCACACAGACTTGAGAGTAATGAAAGCTCGCCTTGCTTTCCCGATCCTCGCTGCTTTGATATCCTCGTCAGTTCCGTCCGCCTGTATTTGAAACGATGCTCCTCCTTTACATTGCTGAAATTGTAGGCATCTTGATAAAGAAACGAAAGCTATGTATATATAAAAGACAATTCTTCAGCTTCTTTTATTATCATGATTTGTTTTCAACCAATTTTTTATTGTTTCGTATCTCACAACTCTTCCTCAGTCTTCTGCAACCTGATTACAACTCATCCACTAAACCGTTTATTTCATTATGTAACTTCAACTTTTCTAATGTACTGAACAATTTAGCAACTGTGCCTATAGCGTGACATCCGCTGTTTCTTAGTTCCAGGTGTGTATACCAGTTTACTTTCAGCTGGCATTGTAGAAAGGTTTATCAGAAGAGGAAAATACGGTCTGTTTCTGATGTTTGCTATGTAAGGGAAGTTAATCTTTGACACCTGATTGAAACAGGACGTCGGGTAGACATATCAAATAATTTGAATAAGATTGAATACAAGTCCCCTAATTAGGCTTCCTAATGCTCAGAGAGGTCACTGTTATGAGATAGTCAAAATCTGATTTACATATTCAAAATCATAGAGTAGTAAGTCTCTCTTGCTTCGATAACTTTACCATTGGTCTTCAACTTCAGTATATGTGTAAAACATGGAAATTGTTGTAGTAAGTAATTCCATATTAGTTTGATTATTAGATGCATCACACAGTGAAACAGTATCATTTACTGAATGACAAGGTTTCGAACAAAATTTATTGTTCATATTCATATCAATTGTGATCACACGACTATGACACTTGAGTTTTATAGCTTTCTTTGTTTTCTCCTATTTGTCGTAGGGGGAGTAGAATTTTCCAGATATCGGAGACAGGTGATGAATCATTCCTATTACATGTATTTGCAGTTGATTCGATAAACAAGGCTTCTGTTATCAATCTCTCCCTATACCCTGTGGCATTAGATTTTAAAACTGTCATCCTGTCTCATCCATCCTATTGTATGGTTGTGTGTAATTGCATGTAGTGAGTGTTATAGCTGAACTATACTCTAGATTTCTTATCTTATTCGGGTCAACTGATCTAGATTTTGCTAGGATTTTATGTTCGGATAGTCTGACTGCCCCTGTTCTACTAGTTTGACCTATGTATTTGAACTGACAATCATCCCAGTTGTTGTTTTGTTTTAAGGGCTCCACAGGATCCTTTAAGCGACAAAGTCTGTTTCTAATTGAGTTTGTGGACAGTTTGAATGCCATTTTTACTCCTGCCTTGTTAAGAATTCTACGTGAGGTTTCCGAGGTTCCTTCTGTGTATGAAATTACTACTGATGATGATTTAAATTCCCTGTTGTTGGTGTTGTCATCGTTCCGTGCATGCTCGACATATATGTCGTGATTAATATTGTTATTATCACTACTATCATTATTTATTCTATTTTTAAATTTCCCTACATACTTCCTGAATAATTTATCAGGGTAATTATTACGTTTTAAAGCTTCTCTTATATGCTTCACTTCCTGTCTTAGATTTTCCTTGGTACTACTTAGTTTTCGTACCCTATCAGTTAAACATTTCACCAATCCTATTTTGAATGAAATAGCTAGTCGTATGGTTATAAGTGATATGATTATGAACAATAACAAATTGTATTCGAAACGTCAGCCAGTAAATAATACTGTTTCACTGTTTCATATATCTAATAAACAAACTAATTTGGATTTTTAGCTTTTCTGTTATTGATTGTAAATGTCGATTTCTTCACATTCCTATTTAGTTACATGATTACTTTTTTTAACTCTATAATTCGTATGTGTGATATCTAATTAGGCACGCTTAACTCACAATGGAATCTTTTCACATTTTATTTGCTCTGTAGCACTTTCCTAATTTATTTGTTTTTATTTACAGCTTGATTCCACACCGTATTTTCAGTACAGGTATGGAATTTTCAGCATGGATATCGGTAGCCCAAATTCAGGCCAACCATAGATATCGGGTGTGCGCCGGCAGGGAATCGAACCCCGGACCATGTGCATGGTCGGCGAGAGTCCTAACCACTGTGCCACCGACGCACAGACTCTTACAATTTATGTACCTTAGTGCCTTATGGCTATTCTTGCTTCGCAATTTTTGTGTTTTATTTGAGAAAGCTCTATAACATTCTGTGTATAAGTACAGGAGTAACTTATATTTTACCTATATTTTTACATTTCGATACATCTATAGCCATAACGTGGTCATTTTAATAATATCTTTATTCTAGACTGTCTTTATATTATGGACTCAAGCGAAGTTTATTGCATGCTATTTTTCCTTCGTACAATTTCTTCAAGTAAAATATTAATTGACAGTATATCCTGTGCTACAGCTGAAGGACAAACCATTTAATTATGGCTTATCTGCTCTGTCTCCTTAGAGAAATCCACGATATCTATCTAGTTGAAAGCTAATTCAAAGATGTTCACAAGTACATTTTGATATCCAAGGACATAATGGAAGAACAGGTATCTCATATATTGGAACCCTTTACCACCAAAAATCAGGCCTTTGCTCAGGCTTACGGGGAACTTGCAAATCATAAGCTTGTAAACTTTCGAGGTCATGTCTTAATCGATTAAAACAAACCAAATAAGAGAAAATATATGCAACAGAGAGAGAGAGATGGAAGATTTTGGAAGCCCAAGTCTGAAGCAGGCTAGGCATGAATCATTCTTAATCAGTATTCCACATTGGTATCTCCAACCAGTTAAAGTATGTTAAAACTATTATAGAACAATTGACTTTCATCTTTCGGAATGTAAGCAGTTGAAAGAGATCCACTGAAGAAACAGAATGTACCCTTCCTATCTTGCTGCATGTGCTTTCATTGCTATATTCAAATTCGTTGATGGAGAATTCGGATATAAAATTCAAGATGTGATATTCCCTAAAACAGTCGGTGTGTACATATGTATAAGCGTTATTTCAGTTTTCAAGTGCATATATGCTATCTAATCGTCATGAAATTTTGTCGTGTCAAGTATCCAATAGAAAGTTATTTGAAGAAGGTCGATAATTAATGCCTAATAATAGTAACTATATTGTTACTGTAGGATGATATCAGTATGGTTCTCATTCTTTGTCAGATATTAGTAACCTGATCCTGGTTTGAAGCTCATTCAACAGATAATTTATATATCTTAAAATATTAACTAATTGCTTTGTTTGAGTAGTGATAAAATCCATCAGGGATACAGTTGTAAAATGCCGTCCGTCCTATGGAAGCCATTCTTGATTCGCATCTAATTTGCTAGCCGTCGGTAAGCCCATGAACTGGGGGAGATTGAGAGGGAGGCTAGCGGCCTCACTTTGTAAGAACAAAAACAATACCACAACCACTGAAACCACAAAGTTATTCTTCTACTTGAAACCTTAGGAATGTGAGAAAAAGTGAAAAACAAAACAGTTGCGAAGTATGCCTGGATATTCCACTTACATTTTGGGTCTTCTGCCATTAGTACTGTAAGAAAAGAAAATGATAAGGAAGAAGTCAGTTAGCTGAATTATGAAGATTTATTGATTTTCATTTTTAATACTTAAACAATACTGAACGTTAATCATTATACTTCGGAAATAACTTTCAGTACTTTATGGAATTTAAATGGTGTTCTCTATATTTAAAAAAAATACTGTAAGACAAATAACCATGTTTTATTGATCTCATCACATATGCGCTTTTTTGGGTTGTGAAACGTGGAATCAGGTTCCATATTTATCAGTCTTTTGGGTTTTACAACTTCCTATTGTATGATAAGGAGACTGGTCGGCATAAACTGGGGTTTAGGCACTACTACCTGCTATCGGTTTAACAGGTAATGATTGGTGGTGAAATAAAATTCTGCATCATGGCAGGATTCGAATCAGTGGCCTCTAGAATATTGGTCCAGATGGTAGGCAGTTGGGCTATTTTGTTTTTGGAATCCTGGCGTGATTTTTGATGATTAATCCACCTACTGAGTGCTCCTGTGTATTAGTGTATGTTACATTTTATTTTTGCACTCACCATAAGGAACAAGATTCGGATTCTGTCCAACACAAATAAGAATTCAATCAGTCAGCCACTCCTTCTATACCGGTCATAAGTACGGCCAGTGCATCATGGAAAGCATTTCCAACAAGTTACCGCAGACATTTATCAACAGCTGCCCCCTTCTCTCCATACTGATGATCAAATGGCCAGCCTGCCACTAAGAAGGAATTAGTAAAAAGAAACCCTGGTTGGCAACAACTAACTAACAAGTATGTAGGAGAAAATGGTGGTGGATTGATCGGGCATATGTTGAGAAGGCCGTCGAATAACATTCGAGTGGAATCCAAACGGGAAGCGACGAGTTTGTCGTCGGTGTGAGGGTGACATAGAGTAGATCATGTGGTGAGGTAGGGATGAGAGATTCTGGGCAGTCGTGTAGCCAGCCAGTTGAAGATGACAGCAGAAGATAGAAGAAAGTGTAGATGTGTTGTTAAAGTCGTATGATCTACTTGGAACTCAAGGGAATAATAATAAAATATAACAGTTTATTATTTAACCTCTAGTTTCTTTTATTCGTGGAGTTAATGCTATGATTGTTTAAGGATTAACGAGTTCTTTAGGAGCTTTTCGCAGTTTCTAGCGAGTCTATTAGAAATATCTATGCTAGTGGCAATATGTATTTACTGAATATACTCGACGTTACTTATTCGAGTGTTACAGAGATCACTGTTGAAATACAGAAGCATCTCAAACCACGATTAGTCAAACATCAGACTTGTTTGTAGAAGCAGCGAAAGAGTTATTCCATATCACAGTGTTGTGTATGCCCGGTTATTGAATTAAGTTAACATCTGTTCGGGTATGATAAGCCTTTAAGGTAGAGGGTTAAATCATCACGAGACTCCAGTCCATCCATGAAAAGGTATGAGTTGCAAAGCAATACCAACAATGGCTAACACACGTTAGCATTCGTAACTGTATGTCAGAAAGAAATTTAATAAATCCTACGGAAAACACTTAGTAAACGCAAATAATGTAGGAGTTATTGAGGTAAATTTGTTAATCTCCTACTCATTCTTTAGTTTACACCGCTGCTGCATCAGACAACAGTTATTCATTGAAATTGCATACTTCGACATTTTAAAATTTATCTAAATTCCTGGTTAGAAATACTATCTATTATTATTTCCTTGGGTTCCAAGTGGAACATGCGACTTCAAGAACACATCTACACTCTCTTACATTTTCCGCTCTCCTCATTCAACTGGCTGGCTGCACAATTGCCCAGAATGTTTCATCTGCATCTCGCCACATGATTTCCTTCGTGTCACCTTCGCACCAACGACTCACTCGTCGCTTCACAATAGCCTTCCCCTCTAGGGCCTGGCGCGCGAATTCATTCGACGGCCTCCTCAACATATGCCCAGTCGATGTGTCTCTATTTTGTCCTGAATATCTGTTGAGCAATGGACTCTTGGTTGGTTTGTCCATCGCTAGAGTTTCTTGTTGCTTATTCATCCTGGCTGGCCTGGTAGCTTGCCATTTGATATTCAGTACAGAAGTAGCAAAGTGGGCAGCTGTTGATACAAATCTTAAGTAGCCTGTCGGAAATTCTTTTTCTTGCCACACAGTGCAAGTTTCTGACGCGTATACAAGCACTGACTGACTGACTTCACAATTTTGTCGAAAATCCAAATCTTGTTGTTTACCCGCAGACAATGCAGCAGATTTCCATACTGGCTTCTGGTTGATGAAAGCGTATCTTGCCTTTCCGATTCTTGCCAGTTTTGACATCTTCATCCATGCCATGTGCCTGTGGTTGAAAATGTGCTTCCTGGTCAGAAACGTGAAGGAATTAACCTCTGTCGAATCTCTCCCGCTGACGGTGATTGTTGTTGATTGTCTGTTTTCATCACCTCCGCCTTCTCTATGTTCACCTGGAATCCTGCCTTCGCTGGCTGCTCCTTTTGCCAGTTTGTTGGTTTTCGCCTGCAAGTCTTCAAGTTTGTGTGACATTAGACACTTATGTCATCCGGTCAGAAATACATTTCAATCAAAATTTCTGTCTGATGGTAGTTATTTAATTTGTTATCTAAGCCCATGTGACATCCTACAGTTTCGTGTAAATTTGATCATTCGATAAAAATTGAATTTGAATTTAAAAGTCTTAAAATTCTGTTGATGAATAAAATAACAAATAACGAATTAAATTCCACTACAACTTCTCTGTTAACTTGCTTAAATGTTTTATTTGGGCTGACAGTAAACAACAGTAGGATTAAGGACGAGCAGCCGTTTTTGTTTGGAACTCGTTGGCTGGATGGACTCAGGGTCCAGGTCTCAGTAAGAACACCATCGTTTATTAAAAATGCAGGAGCATGAAGTTGACGAGTTCCAAAGAGGACGAAACATGCAACCTGAATTCTAGTACTAGTCACCTTCAAACAAAATAAAGTCATGTTAATCTTCAGACATCGTCAGAGCGTACGTATTACGATTCGACTTATCAGTACAGAGCAGAATTTTCAGTTGAAAGGAATCAGTCAACGAGAATTGAAAATGAACATGCTCTCTGATGCATAAAGTGATGCATAAGACAGGTTTATCAATGCACGTTTTAACTCGACGATATCAATTTTGCTTAAATCAGTATTCTCTGAGTCCTTTTTAATTACACTCAAATTTGAAAATTGGTTAGGATAGAGGTCCTCATCCTTCAATTCACCTTGCTGTGAAATGAGAACTTCCCTCAATTAATCGGGCTCTTTGTACCTAGAGAAATTAATGAAATTCTATTTATATGTTTGATGTTATAAATTTTCTGTCCAAGCTTTATGATGTCAGTTAACTAATCTGTTCAACTTACTTTGGTTTCATACCTTCCTTCCCTACTTCTTTCTCTTATATTAGGTGACTTTATTTCACTGTTCGTTGTGAAGCTTCTGAGTATCCATTCAGTTGATATCAGTTACAAGAATGTTTCAAATGAAATGGAATAGACAGTGCGTCGGTGGCACGGTAGTTAGGACTCTCACCACCCACGCACATGGTCTGGGGTTCGATCCCCTGTCGAAGAACACCTGATATCAACGGTCGGCCTGAAAAATTTGGGCTACCGATATCACATGCTGAAAATTCCATACCTGTACCAAAAATATGCGCAACAAGTTAAACTTCCGGTGCATTGAACTATCCTTGTTTTCAGATCAACATTTTTTTCGTTACAGGATTTCATCATAAGCTGACATCAGTTAGAGAACCATTGAAAAACCTGGGAGTAATGAACAGCCGTTTTGTCCTAGTTTGGGACTCTTCATCAATGCGCACCCCCTGGGGTTAGAACCGGTGTTTGACGTTGGTTAGCGGTCACGCTGTCGGGAATTAGCAAAAGTTAGAATTCATAGGCTAGCTATTGGATTGGGTCCCAGTGGCTTAATGGTCTAACAGCTCGCCTTGTAGACAGAGGTTAGTGAGTTCGAACCCTAGCTGTGTGTGTACTGATGAAGAGTCCTAAAATAGGACGAAACGGCTGTCCCGTACTCTCAGCTGGTTTTCCAATGGTCCTCTAACTGATATCAGCTAATGAACCATATCCTTACAAACGAATACTTGCTTATCATATTTTCCTTCTGACTAACGAACACTGCTGGTCAACATAATTGGTTATTCATCGATATATACCGTCTTGAGTAGAAACTAATTGATTTTCTTCAGAATCCAACTGAGTACTTCCATATTGTCATTTATTGTTTGATTTGTGTATTAATTGGTTCTTTATGGAAGTGATTTTCATGGTGGCACCAACGAACAAAATCTGCCGAATAAATTTGTTCCTCACTGTGGATTAACTTCTCTGGTTGAATTAATAACTACCTTGTGGTAGGTGAGAAGAAAATTTTATTTCTTGGTTGACTGTATCGCTCTGCTTGTTCATTCTGCATATCTTTTTGATCGAGGACCAAACGCTGCACTAGATGGTGAAATGATACAGTTATAGATTCATTGAAAACCGGAATACTTGATGACCATGCGTTTTATTCTGGTTTGTGACTCTTCAGGAGTACCTTCCATAACCTCTCGGGGATCAAAATTAAGACCTTCAGGTTGCAAGGCAAGATAGCTGATTATTCAGGGGTCCATTGATTCCAGATTCTGTAAATTCGCCTTATACAGAGTATGACTGTTGCCTAACATCATTGGAGATTATCAGCCTCACAACTGATTTGTTGATCTCTACTGGTGATGGCTTTTCTCTAGAACTTCGTGCTACTTCATCCTACAGTCAGTCGCCATTCAAAGCTAATTAATTTTCATGCGTTGATTTGCAGGAATTTGACTAAATTCAAGCTTGATCCTTAAATAACTTGAACTAGAGAACCAAGGAAAGGCAATATATACTCCTGGGCAGCTATTTACGCTATATTTGAAAATTCTTAGAAGTATATCCACTTGACTGCAACAGATGTTGGACAATCTATTCCTGTTTGTGATTTCCCACTGATATCTGTCCTCATCGTTTCTCTATATCAGCTCCATGGATGAATGTCTCATCGATAACAGTGGCTGACGGTCGCTCTATATATCACCAATTGGCGGAAGTCAGAATTGATGAACAACTGGATTCCGGTCAATGATTCTGCCTCGTAACCTGCAAGGGCTGGACGTGGTCATCGGTGTGTACTACTGAAGAATACTCCCAAAGGAGAATCAAACAAATTTCCATCATACCAGGTTTCCAGTTGTTCTCAAGACAGTTCACCGCCAAACCTAAGCATATTTTCATTCATAGTGTAAACGTATTGTTAATACTATTATTAAAGACTCAACAACCAGCTTCCACATCGGTGGTTTAGTGGTAGAATAATTACCAACGAGCATATAGAGTCCAGAGTTCGATCCCCGATCGATGTTCTCCTAAACGTCAACTAGTCAATAGTAATCCTGGTAAAAAGTGAAGGTCTGCTGGTCTACTAGGAACCCTGCCTCGTAACCAAATAGAGAACACCACTAATGGGACTCATGCTTCAAGCCAAATGTTCCATACGGAACACGAAAAAATAAAGTAAGCAAACAGAAAAAGAAAACAATAACTGGCTTACTTTTATCATATGCTTTCTTTAATAAATAAATTTCAGTATTATTACAACAACAGATAATGTCGGTCATTATTTGATAATTTGAACCCAATGTCTTCATGCCTTTATATAAATCATTGGCTAAAATCTCCATTGGATTTCTAAACATTGTTTTCAATAGGCTATCATAACCGCCTAATAAAACAGAGCCTAAATGTTCCGTGATATCCTGTATTGAAGAAAAAAAATATAAAGGGAATAGAGTACAAAATAATGAAAGCACAATCTATTTTGAAATAAATTATCTGGCTCCTTATGAAAATCCAAAATCTAAATATCAATCTCAGTACTTGCTGATTGTGATGATGTCGTGAAGGTGTAATGTAATGAGTAGCAGGCTAAAAGTAGCATTATATTACGAACTGAGAGAAGTTCAATTTCATAGTACATTGAATTTTGACCCCAAATGGCTGACTCATCAAAGAATTCAGTCGCATAGCCTAAACGTCCTGGCTTCTATCTTTATGACAGTGGAGTCATGGGTGCTAACTACTGAAGAGACCTAGAATAGGGAGAGACATCTGTCTAGTACTTCCTGGTTCTCAGTGGTCTCTAACTGATGTTGATTTATGGCGACATCTACATTAGAAAGATGAATAATCTTTTCGACAAATATATGACAAATATGTATACGATAGGTGGTGTTGAGGTTAGTCGAAACAAAATCATTGTAACTAGCGATTCTTGATGATTTATTTTCAGTGAGATAATGTGGTGAGAGCTGGCTGCAAGCCAAGATTATAGACAACACTTTACGTCGATGTTACCTCCCGAATCAGAGTCATGAAAAAAACTAAAACAAAGCTTAATCTTGAGGAACTCACCAATCAATCACAGCAGAGTTAACGTACGCAAATACGATTCGCAGATACATGGCTTAACTTTCTGAGAAGTGGTCACAAGCAGTACAAATTAACTTTCAGCAAGAAAACAACCAATCAGAAGACATTGCTTCTCAGCTGATAATAATGTACATGAAAATCTACAAATATCTGTTGATTTTCTTAATAAACGATATGTTGCCTGGCCCTTGTCTTCTGTCGTTACAATAATGAATTTCATGTGATTCAAGTAAAATCAGATAGTGTCAGTGTAGGTAAAATTGACAACAATATTTTACAGCAAGCACAAGCTTCTTATTACTGTTCTTTCCTTACTTTCCGAATGGAAAATAAGGTTTTAGTGGGATTTCTCCAATGCATTGCTTTCACATGACTCGATTGTTACTCTGGGATGTGTAAACACTCACTTCCCGCTCGAGTTCCGCTCTTCATCCTGGAGTAGAATATCCTTCAATGGTCTTCAATTTCTTTTTTTCCGCGAATTTGTCGATCACTTAGTTATTGGCTAGTTATCCACAAGATTGTCCTGTCCAGTAGACTGTCTGATACTGAGCATCGACTGAAACGTGGTATTACTGAATGCGTGAGGCCTGTTAGAGATGCTTTCCGCGACTCTCAAAGTCTTTGAAGTATACAGAGGCATTGACCCCTTTCATATCTTAATAGTTGTATTAAGTGCTATAGATACCAACGACGATTTCAGAGTTGTGAATGCCTGTCATGTCCTACTGATTTGATCGTAACTGGCTATGATATTGGAATAGATATCATTCACAAACTTATCATTTATCGAGAATACATACTGAGTCACGAATAAAATCAAATACAATTCAATGAAGAAAATTTTCTTTATCGACGAAATCATCTTCAGAGGATGTACAGTCGTATTCGTATTTACCAAAGTGTGTAGTAGTCCATTAGTAAATAAAAGGGGTGACGTAACTGATATTATTGCTTAGAAGTGGCTTCAAAAAAAAAAATTATAAATTACGCAGAACTCAACGGCACAAAGGAAGAAAGCGTAAGAAACTTGATAAGGTTAAAAGTGTTAATGAGTGAGAAGAAGGCTAGTTGGGCGTCCATTTAAGAAGTGTGAATAGGGTGAGAAAACGTACAGAAGGAACATGTGGGAGTGAAAATAGTGAATTAATTATCAGAGTGAAAGCAAATTAAAATTAAAATTAGAAAAATCAAAAAAATAGAAATTAAAGGGAACGACTATTGCGAAGGTCAAGACCCTGATTTACGGGGTACATCCATTGATGTCATGTAATAGAGATAGAGTGGATCAGATTTTTTTTTTTCTCAAAGAGGACCAACTATGAAATGTGTATAACCATTCCATGTTGGTTTTCTATAGATCGATTTTTGAAGAGAAGTGTCACATCTCTTTTTAAGAAGATCATTCAAAAAATGGACTTACGAGTTCATCTCTGATTCTGACGTGAACGACTCAGCATGATGCCTGCCGTGTAACTCACTTACTTAATACAAAAACATAACTGTAGAGCTAAAGAATAAATATAAGTAGAGATTGGGATTTTTTAGTCCACTGGGACCCTATCCAATGGTCCATGAATTCTAACTTCTGCCAATTCACGACATAGCGCGACCCCTAGCCAATGTCTTCGGCGAGTATTTGTCCTTACCGAAGTCCTGGGTTCGAATCCCGGTGGGTGCGTACTGCTGAAGAGTCCCAAACTAGGACGAAACAGCTGTCCAGTACTCCCAATTTTTCCAATGGTTCTCTAACTAATGTCAGCTCATGATGAAAATCCTGTAACCAATCAAATCCCTACAAACCAACACTTGAATGGGGGGAAATGTTTTATTTTAAGCTCGATTCCATGCATGAATTTCATCTACATTTTTTATATGTATTGATTTCACACTATTATTCATGTGCTTTATCAGGAAGCAATTCGATGTTTTCAGGGATTTTGAGGTGATTTGTTTTAGACATTTTTCACGAATATTAAAGAATAACCCCTTTGAAACAATCTAAACGTTTTGATGAGATCGTATAAGATTGACTTAATTTGATTTTAGAACGAAGTGTGTAACTTTTAAAATTCCTTTTAATATTTTGTCAGTGGACTGATTAAGCAAGATATAGGAATAGAAATGAACTGGACTAAATTATCTATCTGAGCCGAACCTGTTCAATACATATACAGCTCTAATTGGGAAAGCTATCTACGAGATATTTCGACTAATTTGATCTAGTTATTAAGCATTACTGGTTGGTCTGAATAATCAGTATCTAATAATACTAGGCAATAGTAAATAATACTTATATTAATTTTTTCCTGTGCTCTAACATTTCAATGATGGGACTTGTCTCTTTCACTCATCTGGAAAGCGTCAATTCAATTACAGGTGACAAGGATAGGGGAAGTGTAGCCAGCGAGAATTGGTTCGCGAAAGCAAACCAGACAGTCATTGATTATTCAGTGAAATCGGTGTAGGGATCTGAAACCATCAGCACCAATACTAATATTAAGTCACTGTTCATAAATGGACCAGAAACTTAGCGCGAGATATTTCCACCTGATCACCTACCATTTGCACTACCATCGACCTTTGTTAGATACCGATATTCAGATGACTGAAGAGGATGAGCAACAATGAGTCCTCAATAGTCAAGGAGCTATCGCACAATGGAAATCGTTCGAAGACCTGGTGTTCGTATGGTGAACAGAATTCCCGACAGATTTCTGCCGACTTTCATCACCTGTTATCTGTGTAGATCAAATATATGGCTCGAAAATTTAAGCAACGTAAAATTCTTGTAGATCGAGTGGACACACGTTGAATATAGAGCGTTCAGTGACGTCATGCGTCAGACCTTCGATTAGAAACTGAATGAAAAAGGATGAATTGGTCAAGAATATTCTGTCAGCTAAATATCATCTGTCCAATCATTTGATTTTATGTTTAAGTCTCTTTTTTTATTATCCGGTCAATTTCAGGATAACTGACGTGGGTTAGACGACCACTGGGAAACCTGGGATTACCGGACAGTTTGATACGCTTCATCTGTGAACAACCTCTGAGTTTCGAACCCAGAACTTTCTGGTTACTAGGCGAGCTAGCTAGTAAACCATTAAGACACTGGTACATGACCTCATGGCCCATAAATTCCAACTTCTACCAGTTAACGATATTTCACGACCCCTAGTGAATGTCATCAGCGAGTATTGGTCTGCATACCTGACTCTGTACCCCACTGGTCACGACTTCTAAGTAGAACCTAGGTACCTGCCTACCTGAATAGAGTCAGTCATCGCTAGTGGACATCCAAGTGTTTGTCAAGTGTTAGTTGGTGCAGGGAATCGACAGAAGTTGGAATTCATAGACCATAGGATCAGATCCCAGTGTCTTAATGTTCTACGATCTAGCTCGCCTGGTGACCAGAAAGTTCTGGGTTCGAGATTTAGTGGTTGCTTACTGATGAAAACTTCCATACGGGGCGAAAAGGCTGTCCGGTAAAGCCAGGTTTTCAAATGGTCCTCTAACCAACGTCACGTCATGATAAAATCCTGAAACCGATGGAATCAGTGCAAACCATCACTTGAATATTCAGTCAATTACCGTCAGTTAGGTTTTATTTTACTAATGACAGGTCCTAAGTATCTATGAATACAAACTAGTAGTCGAAAATACTCGAGAAGACTTACTTCCTATCATTGTATACGGATATCCAAGAACATCAGTGTCAGTGGAAGAACTCAAAGACATCCGAAAACTTCTCCAAAAATACGCTACTCAAATTACTTATAAGGCAAAAGAAATACTGATAGCGACCATATTTTTCAAACGATTAAGAGAAAGTCAGACGTTAGGAGGTTAAATGTCACGTGAAATTATCAGTGTCAATGTGAGTAGATGCAATGAAGAGAGACAGTCTTCATCGACAGTTGACGATCAATTGTAGCATTTATTTCATTCACAAAGGATCCGGGAAAATAAATCTACTTTAAAGTTAGCACTGAAGATGATGTTCTGAAAGATAGTGAAACCTTAACAATTAAACTATCCAGTAGAGAGAAGGCGGTATCACTACAAAAGTATACATCCAAACTACAAATCTATATTATTTCACTTTATATTACCCAGTAAAATGAATAAATAAATAAATGGAAACTCGGAGAAACTACTCAACACAAATAATAGTCACAATGACATTATTAATAATCCTCTCAAATACCTTGTCGTATAAACGTTTATAAGCCTCTGCAATCGCCATACGTTGCTGAAAATTTCTATGACCGAGTATTTCATTGATGATATCTTCATCAGTATCTTAGAGGATGAAAAAAAATAGGTGGCGAATCGGTTAATTCATGCTATAAAAACAGACACTGACATTTACAAATAAGATAACAACTGAACCATTGAAAACCATGAAGTAATTGACAGCTGAGTTATTTCCGTTTGAGACTTTTCAGCAGTACTCACCCCCTACTTCAGTGTTAATCAAAATCGAAAGTTTCAGATGGTTCAGTGACCCAGTTAACTATTAAGTCTCTCAGACGGTATCCAGTGGCATATAAATACAAACTTCTACCATTTCTCAACGAATGGTACCATAGCCAGCCAGTGCCATCAGCAACACACTATGTGGACTCTATTCGTTAGGCTTCCTCATCATAACCCTAGATCCTCCAGCGTGTAAGCGGCCAGCAATCAGCAGAGGGTTATTTTTCAGGGGTTGGTTGATTCAAGTGTCTGATGACAAATTGATATCAGTTAGGTAACTACTGCAAACGAGGTTTACGCCAAGTACACTCGTTCCTGACTGATGACAAATCACGTCTACCAGTCACGGTGTGTGACTGATACATATGATGTAGAGGGGCAAATGAAGAAAGCTGCAGCATCATTCTATCAATGAAATAAATATCTGTATTCAATAAACACGCAGAATACAACAGTCAACTAGGTGATGTGAATGATTCCGTGATATGGTGAGTTATCAGGACTTTGAAATCTTTGAAAAATACAGTAATTTTTCAAAAACCATGATGAAACAGTTCCATTTTGAAACAAAAGGCAACCTCTATAAACTTTTCAGTCCATGGCAGCAAATAATGGAATGTTTCATTACGTTTAGGAGCTATGCGACGATTTATTTCATTTTAAATGCTCTATAGATGTCATTCACCAATTAACTTGGTTAATATTAGTCTTCAAATAGATTAAATGTCAGTTGTTATTATTATGATAAGTCCTACAGGTTCCTAGTGGACTAGCAAATTGTTTGTGGACTTCTATGCCTTTTATTGATTTGATGATTAAAGACGGCGAGAACGAATACAAGGATATGCACACAGAGACATGGATTTCACATGATGGACAAACAAAATATCAGAGAGACTACATTTTAATCTCAGAAAAAGGTTAAGACACAGTCTGCTGAACACAAAAGAGGAGCAGATATGGATAGATTCGACTAGCCACTGCAAGGAGTCTCCCGAGTCAAGGAATTTGCCTTCAAATAAGCTTGAGAGAAACCATAATTCAAGTTCAGTTCACATAAACTGATGTCCGAAACTAGAAGGTTCCAATGTGTGCAGAAACACTGGAACTCTTTGATAGCGAGTTTATAGGAAACCTGGATAGCCAATTTACGAAGAAAGAAGAGGCAAACAAGGAATAGAAAGACGAGGAGAAGCTTAATTCAATATTCAGGAAAGTGTACAAGAAAGTGTTAAATGAGTACTATAGAAGCAGGCGTAAAGACAATTTTATAACACTGTCAGTTGAAGCAGAATAGGTTACAGGAAACAGACACCTGTAAACACAATATTAAGTAACAATTAAATTACTCCAGTATTGAATTTAATATAATCAGTGATTAGACAAAGCAATAAGAAGACGTAATTTGTCTGAATCGTGTATTGTGTATTTGCGCTACACATTTCGAACAATCTGATCACACACGGACTTGTAATAGGAATAGATATATGTGAAATTAATAAAGATGTAAGAGGTGAGAAAACAGGCTTAGGTCAAGTTAAAAGGATATACTGTCGGTCAAAATAACGAAGAAGATCACTAAACCAAATAACAGAAGTAATAGTACATCTACGCTGGCTGGTATCAAAACAAACTTTACCAAGGAAAGTTTATTGTGATGACGATTTGTTGCTTTGAACGCATAAACGTGGCTTAAACTTATTAATTGCCAGCTAAGGCTTCCCAAACTTTAGAATACGCCACAAACATGTTTTATAGGTAGGTTTAAAAGATGTGTAAACATCCATTTTAATGTCTTGTCGCCATAATATGTTTCGAAATTAAGAAGCTAGGTCTACTGTTCTCACCAATAATAGGTTCTGAGGATTCTATTTGCTTCTGAATCCATTCAGAAATTTTCTCTGAAACCCTTGCTTGGAGAGATCGATGAGTTCTCCCTATGTTTATATGGGGCCACACATACATTCAAATTGGTTAATATAGTGGGATGTGGCATCACTTTTCGTCTGCTCTAAGGGTTTGGATGGATATATAAGCACCATACTCTATTTTGTTTAGAAACGTATTATAGAGACGCGACATAAAACTGATGTTTATACACCTCCTAAACCTATCTATAGAACGTGTTTTGGGCGTATCATAAAATTTTAGTGGAAGCCCTAACTGACAATTAGGAAGTTTAAACCACCTTTTCTGCTTCAGTTGACAGTGTGTTATGAAATTGTCTCTTCTCCTACTTTCCTAGCAGTCATTTCACACTTTCTTCTTCTCTCTGCTGTAGATTAAATCAGGCTTCTCCTTGTCTTGCCTCTTCTTTCTTCGTAAATTGGCTATCCAGGTTTCCTATAAACTCGCTATCAAAGAGTTCCAGTGTTTCTGCACACATTGGAACCTTCTAGTTTCGGACATCAGTTTATGTGAACTGAACTTGAATTATGGTTTCTCTCAAGCTTATTTGAAGGCAAATTCCTTGACTCGGGAGACTCCTTGCAGTGGCTAGTCGAATCTATCCATATCTGCTCCTCTTTTGTGTTCAGCAGACTGTGTCTTAACCTTTTTCTGAGATTAAAATGTAGTCTCTTTGATATTTTGTTTGTCCATCATGTGAAATCCATGTCTCTGTGTGCATATCCTTGTATTCATTCTCGCCCTGTTCAATCGCCAAATCAACAAAAGGCATAGAAGTCCACAAACAATTTGCTGGTCCACTAGGAACCTGTAGGACTTATCATAATAATAACAACTGACATTTAATCTATTTGAAGACTGATATTAACCAAGTCAATTGTTGAATGATATGTATGGAGCATTTTGAATGAAATAAATCGTTGCTTAGCTCTCGAACGTGGTGAAACATTCCATGATTAGCTACTACAGACTGCAAAAGTTTTAGACATCGCTTTTTTTTCAAAACGGAACTGTTTCATCATGGTTTTTGAAAAATTACTGTATTTTTCAAAGATTTCAAAGTCCTGATAACTCACCATATCACTGAATCATTCACACCATCTAGTCGATTGTTGTATTCTGCGTGTTTATTCAATACAGATACTCATTTTATTGATAGAATGATGCTGTAGCTTTCTTCATTTGCCCCTCTACATCAGGTGTATCAGTCACACACCGGGACTAGTAAACGTGATTTATCATCAGTCAGGGACAAATGCATTAATCATAAACGTAATTATTTGAAGACTAATTTGTTCGTCTTCTTATTTCTTTGTCTAAGTACATAAAGGGAACTATTCATATATTTGAAATAATCGATTCTGTATTTTAGTTATCATTTGAAGATACCATAAATTCTTTTGTACTTTACAAGAAAGACGAACAAAAGAAAATTACTTCAAGTATGCGTTGAATGTACTTTAATAAACATCTCATGTTTTATTGTTTGTCAGTCATACAATTAATTGTATTTACAAAATTGATTAGTAACACAAAGTTTTAATCTTATAATCACAGATGATGACAGATATGAATATATGAATTTATTTTGGAATTAATTATCAGAGAATGGAATAAGAAAAATAAAATTATAATTAAGAGTGCATAAATTAGTCTCAGTAACTGAGTGAAGTACTCATTGAAACATTGAGCCATTAGGTGATTGAATATTGAGAAATTATTTCACACAATGTAGCTTTATTACAACTAGCATTATTGACAGTAATAAAATAAAATGACTGACAATCACTTAGTTAGAAGTTAACTGGCGGCTAGCAGTGGAATCCAAGATAACACGCATTTCGTCTTATTTAGGAGTCGTCAGCTACTGGATGTACCTGCATACCCCAGTGAGTGATGATGTTCTCACAGAGGCTCGAACCCAGTGTGCATAGTTTCAAACGCCAAAGCGTTATCCGTTACACTGTTTGGGCCACGAGAGCTGGCCACCTCTTGTGCAACGGCTCATACTAATTATATAATTCGATTTAAGAATTTCCTGTCTATTGATTGGACCGAAGTGCTTGGTCTCAGGTTGAAATTTTGGCTTCTTGTGCATGATGATATAACCAATCTTTTCTGAATTTTCATTTAAGTATGATTAAAATTATGCAATTGATAGCTCAAAGGTTTTTGTTAGGGTATCAGGTGTACATTGTATCTTAACTCCTTATTCGTTTACCTTCCCATTGCAACATAGGGAGTGGTGCTTATGGGATGGGGTTTCTAGTTTCATCCCCAAACCTTCCCTCTTTACCAGTCTTAATACTGGATTATAGAGGTAAAGGAGTTCGCTGGTCTGGAGTCACCTGCGTGATTGGTGGGCATTCTACGGCTGCGCCACCGACACAAAGCCTGGTTTGGCCCATATCCTTTCTCCTCATATCTTGAACATTTTTAATCGCTGTGCCTATAATTAATAGATGAAATCCGATTGGAGTTTACTTCACAATACTTCTGTTATTTCCCCTGCAGTTGCGGAGAAACGTTAGAACCAGTAGAATGTTAGAGTGTCATTGAAGAGGGCATGTTCTTAGATGGTTGTTAAGTCACATACAATAATCATATATGCTTTATTTATCTCAAAAGAAATCCATTGCAAAGAATTTGTTAATGTCTGTACACAAAATCAATGTTGTTAATGACTATTTCTCAATTATTCCACATAAACTTGAGCAAAGCAAGAATGACAAATGTATCAGGATAATATGAGCTCATGTCTTGTAACGTCAAGCAGTAATCTATAGGGTGATTAGTTTTCCGATGAGAAAATAAAATCTGCTAACAGGAAAGAAGTTTACGTAATAACATTGTATAGTTTTCTAAGTAAGTTCAATCAGTAGGGTAGTGTAAGATTCACAACTGTCCCTTTCTGC